GCTGCCCATTGTTTTGAAATGTGAGGAATCTTTCTTGTAAAATCTTTATCACCCCCTCACTAGGCACGAATGTATATCTAAATATGTCTTCCTTATATACCAAAGAGAAAACGATCCAAAAGATTGGACAGCTCTTGTGGGAGCCAATCTAGTCAGTGGAGAGGAGGACAAAGCCACCACAGTAAACATCAAGTCCCTGGTTCTCTCTCCAAGCTACGATCCCATGACTACTGACAGTGATGTGACCGTGCTGGAGTTGGAAACGCCCTTGACGTTCAGCCCTTATGTTCAGCCAGTCTGTATCCCATCATCCTCTCATATTTTCAGTGCTGGGCAGAACTGCATCGTCTCTGGCTGGGGGGCTCTTAATCAGTACAGCAGTGAGTATGTTTGATGTTGAGGAAAACATCTGAATATTCTTTGGCTTGAGTTTTTTTTAGTTTAACTCAGGTAACCCCACCCCTAAACGGCACCAAACTCAAAACAAACTGTACTTGGTCACTTTACATGTCAATCAGGTGCTCTTTTCTTGCCTGAGTTCTTGGTCTTAATAAGATTCCGTGAAGACCAGCCATTTTGCCACAAGTCAAAAGTCTGGCTGCTCGAGACTACCTGTTTTAAGACTACACCTCTTTGTGCCCAAGCAGGAGAGGAGCCTTCTACATTACAGAAGGCAATTGTGAAGATCATTGACTCGAGAGTTTGCAACAAGTCATCTGTATACAGAGGTGAACTTACCCAAAATATGATGTGTGCTGGTTTTCTTCAAGGGAAGGTGGACTCTTGTAAGGTAAGGGTGATCGCAAAAATGCTTGATTAAAAAGTATTTCAAAATTAATTATTCAACATGGTTTTGTCCTTCAGGGAGATTCTGGAGGCCCCCTGGTATGTGAGGTGTCCCCTGGACGCTTTTTCTTGGCTGGCGTGGTGAGCTGGGGAGTGGGTTGTGCACAGATCAACAAGCCTGGGGTCTATTCCCGCGTCACTAAGCTCCGCAACTGGATTCTGAGCTACACCAATACTGCACCAACAATCCAAGTTGGCCCCACAGTCCCTAGCGTCAAAACCACTGCACTTCACATCAGTAAATCTATAAACCCATCCACTGAGCATGTCAATAATGATTATAACCCTACTCCTGGGAACTGCAGTGCTAATTACAACTGTGGCGGAGACATGTGCATCAGCAAGACAAACCCAGAGTGTGACAGAGTCAGTGACTGCCCCAATGATGCAGATGAGAAAAACTGTGGTAAATAATCTCTATCTATCACCTCTACAACAGGGGTGCCCAATCCTGTTCCTGGAGAGATATCGTCCTGCAAAGTTTTGCACCGACCCTAAAGTGATCAAGATAATTAAGATCTTCAAAAACACTTAATAATTACAAACTGGTGTGTTGGAGCAGGGTTGGAACTGAATTTTGCAGGCAGGCACCAGGATTGATTGTAGGATTGGGCACCCCTGCTCTACAACAATCCCTTTGGTTTGCACCCACATTAATGAAGTATGGTTAACTAGCTCGAGTAGACCTTCGTCAGGGTAAGTGCCATATTTAACAGTGCATGAAAGAAATAAGGGTGGTGATACAGTCCGTTCAAAAGGTTGTACTGCCACCAATTTTCACAACCCAGAGTTCTTTTGCACACTGTAAGAATTGCATATTTTCAATGTTGTGTCGGCTGATTGACACCAAGTTGCACAACTGTACAACCCATTGAACAGACCATACGTGCATCCCTTACAGCCTAATTTTCATTGGTGTAAAGGTAAATATGGCATCTACCCCAACTAAGGTCCATTGAACTAGCTTGAAGAATAAGAATAAAAGGGTCACCTGATTACTTTGCAGACTGTGGGAATCGGCCAGTCATCGGCCAGGAGAGGATTATTGGTGGCGTCACCGCTCATAGAGGTGAATGGCCGTGGGTGGGCAGTCTGCAGTACCAACGCACTCACCGCTGTGGAGCTACACTTATCCACTGCAAATGGCTCCTGACTGCAGCTCATTGCTTCAGAGTGTAGTGTACCTTTGACTGACGACTACCCAACACGCTCCACTTTCAGATCTGGAAAGAGTTGAACAGGGAAGATTTACTCTTTATTTTGTGTTTTCATTAATAGTGACCTGAACCCATCCAGCTGGACGGTAAGTCTCGGCTCAGTCATTTGGTCTGGAGTGGGTGCTCTGGTGATTCCAGTGCAAAGGATCATCCCTCATCCTGCTTTCAACAGAAGCACCATGGACTTCGATGTGGCCCTGGTTGAAATCTCCATCCCCACTCCAAAGTCCTACACCATCCAGACTGTGTGTTTGCCTTCTCCCTGGCATATCTTCAACAAAAATATGGAATGCTACATCGCTGGATGGGGTGCTGTGAGGGAGGGTGGTAAGTTTGGGGTTGATCAAGACAAAACTTCAAACTAGTATAAAAAAACTAGACATCTTGGTGTGGATCCAGGTTTGACTGACCTTAAAGTGTGGTCAATGCAAAAGCAACTAAAGTTCCGCAACAAAAGCACACTTTAGTTCCGAACTAAAGTGCGCACCAAGGAACCTTACTTGTGGTTTTCATCTGTTTGAAAAGGGGTCTGGAATTTGACTTAAATTAATCATCATACATTTCGTAATGAATGTAAACTCAATCCAAACATGAAATGCCATAATGCTAAAAGTAGACCATTTCCATCATGGGTAGGAGTCAAAGTACCAAGTATGAAAACAACACAAAAAAAGCTCTATACTGTGGGTATAGAAAATAATCACCCCTCTTTGAAATAATTCTGAAATTATTGGGGGGGGGGGGTTCCTGACATGTTGGTATTGTATTGTTCACTTGGATGTTATAAGTTGCACTGAGTAAACACAGCTGGATAAAACAAAAACTGTGAGGCTGCAAAGCAACAAAATGTGATTATTTTAAAGGGGATGTGATTCTTTTCTATACCCAACACACTGCAGTTCCTCTACTTGAAGTCTTGTTCCAAAAAGATATGGACATGATTTGTTTGACAAGGTCTGTTGTGACACATGGTCTGTTTATCTCACATAGGTATGATAACCAGTTTGCTGCAAAAAGCACAGGTTAGTATCATTGATCAGTTGGACTGCCAGCAAGCTTACGGGGCTGAACTTACCAACATGATGTGTGCTGGCTCAATGGAAGGAGACAGGGACACATGTTTGGTGAGTTTCTGGTCAAGAACTTGTTTCCAGTATTAAAAGTTTTCTGAATCCCACTATCTGAAAGAGTCAGCAGTTGCACATTCTTGTTCTTGTAGGAGAAATCTGAATCACTTTTTCTGAAGCACTGCTGCACTTACCCAAAGATACTTAATGTATTTATTGTTGTGATTGTTTTTATTTTATTTTATGTAAAGCACTTTGAATTACCATTGTGTATGAAATGTGCTATACAAATAAACTTGCCTTGCCTTATGCTCCAAGTCTTTTTTTTTTTTTTACTTTAAAACATCCATGCCTCTTAATCTGATTACATAACCCAGCCCAATGTAATTCAACCATATCCTTGAGTTTTCAGCAGACTTCTGTAAATGTCATACCTTCCATAAAAACACCAATGAACGCAGTGGTCTTGTCTTTGTCTACAGGGAGACTCAGGGGGCCCTCTGGTGTGCCATGAACCCCAGGGCCGGTGGTTTCTGGCTGGGGTGACCAGCTGGGGTCACGGTTGTGGTCGACTTGGCTTCCCGGGAGTTTACATGCAAGTCACGGCTGTCAGAGAATGGATATCTACATACCTCCCTTTATAAAAATACAATCTAGAAATATCCTCCACCATCATTCTCACAAGTGATGTGCAGTCGTGTCTCTCAACTGAAAAGAATGCATGAGACTCAAATGGACAACTTTACCAACAGGTTCATACTGTACTGTCGAAATATTTATTTTTGGTATATATTAACAATTCATTCTGGTGTACAAAGCAGAAGCCCTTGATGTGTTATAGCTGTTGAGGTGATTAAACCATGCGGCCCCCACTGAATCTGCAGACATTTTTAATGTAAAGATTTTGAAGGAAAAATCAGTGGAGATGTGCCTATTTGGAAGGCTGCAGATTCCTTGTGGCCCTTAGCTTAAAAATATGTACAAATAATAATCATTTTGAAGTGGTGTTCACTTCAAATGAAAGATAATAAATTATGGCGACATTTGCTTGCCTGAAGTTTGATCAATTCTGATTTAAAGAGATATCACCAGCAGCAGAATTTTTACTACTACAAATCAAAAAAGACTTTAAAAACAATATTAAGGCAATTTGCTTTGACTTGTTTGATGCATTAAGGCCAGAAACATACACTAGTACAGTGGTTCCCAACCCTGGTCCTGGAGGCACCCCAGCACTGCATATTTTGCATGTCTCCTTTCTCTGACACACCAACTTCAGGTCTTGGAGTCTCTACTAATGAGCTGATGACCTGAATCAGGTGTGTTTGATTAAGGAGACATGCAAAACGTGCAGTGTTGGGGTGCCTCTAGGACCAGGGTTGGGAACCACTGCACTAGAACAACAAATCAAAAGCTAAACCTCAATACAAAACCTGGAACTAAACCTCAATACAAAAGTCTGTGTCATAAAACATTGATGCTTTTCAAAGTGTTGCTCTGCCATGACAAGGCTGTAGAAGACAGTTTGTGGAAAGGCATGCTATAGCGCTCCATATGGCAACGCTGAGAATGCAACATGTACAATAGTGTTTCAGTCCTAATTTGTACAAATGGTGTTACACCTGTTAACCAATGAAAGAATAAACATCAATAAAAATTGACTTATTCTGTGGTATTTATTTACATTCCATAAAAACAGCTTGGTGACAATTACACAACATCTGTCTGGACATGTCCTGGTGGAGTTTGCGTCTCGATATTTAATAAAGCAAAAGAAATGGGGAATTTTGAGCGTGTACACAAAGGGAACTGCTTTTACAGGGTTTGCAGTTCTAGACAACCCTACTACTGTATTTAACAGACAATGAGACAAATGACACTCCAGGGTCGACAACTGCGGTTTGTTCTTCAGAGGTAAGTAAGAAGGACTGTTCAGCCGCTCCTGGTGAAGAAGTGACAATTATTGCAACAAAGACGCCTCTGAATTCTCCCCCTCTGGGAATAGAACTAGGTTTGTGGAACAGAGTTGGTAAAGTGAGCCCTTCCCTCAGGAAATGGAGCAACATCCACCCAATGACAAAAGGCAGACAGATAGTACACTGAATTTTGATTCTGCTTAATGAATAGATAACAACATAAGTGGAGGAGTCCAAATTTAGCATCGTTTTTAAACCAGCGAACTGGAACTGGATCCAGACCCATTCTTTTGGTATCCCAATTCTGGCCATCATTTCAAGCAAAAGAACTGCTACTACAATAATCAATCTTTTTAACACACAAAATGATGAAAAACGGCCATGTAGAGTCTAAATCCAACCACCTGGTTGCTTCTGAAGCCATCAGCTGATGTTGTGTGGTAAGACAGCCAAGTCTACAAACCCGTCGTGCATTTACAGACTAGACATCTCTACCTGATGACTGAGGTAGTACCGGCTGCCATCTGCACATCAAATACGTGCCCTTTCCCTCTGTAATCTTGAATTATATGCACGGGAGACCGTGTTCCATGCGTCCATATAGCGGTCCATGCACATGGCAATACATTTCTGGGAAAAACAAAAGGGGTAGAAATTTACAGGGTTTAGATGTTGTTGTTTTTTCTTAAATAAACACGGTTAATGGCATAGGAAGTATTTTTCCCACCTGTTCGGAGTTGTCCAACGTGCTTCCTGGTTTGCCAATGCACTTCTTGAAGCATTTATCAGTCATTCTCTGCAATGCAGGACAAATGCCATTAGGAATGCATTGAATAATTGTATTTTTATAAGTGATACCTTACAAAAAAAGTACTACGGCGGTATCATACGGTGAAAATTTTACGTAGAAACAAATCAGTCCGAAATTTCTTATACATTTTACAAATAATTACTATGAAATATGACATTTCGAAGCAAAACCACTGAAATTATATTTTCTTTACTTCAATCTTGTTTTATTTACACTAAAATCATTATTTATAGTATAGTATAGTGGTGGTATCCCATTGTAATATTATGGTACTTTAAAATAATTATTAAGTATTTAAATGTTTTTGCAAGAATACCATGGTACTTTCTGTATTGATTTCAGATGTTTTGTAGGAGAAGTACCATGGTATTTTGGACATACTTTGGAATACCATAGTATCTAAATCAATGTATACCACCACTGTAGCATGGTGCCACCACAGTACTTTTTGAAAGAGTACCATATTCATATACTATGGCTTACTGTGGTAGTAACATGGTACATGTTAAAAAAACACAGTTTTACCATAGTATACAGATAAAAACTTACAAAAGGACTGTTTGTACGATGATACAAAGTCTAAAATCTCTGGATAATACCATGGTACTTTTTTTGTAAGTGTACACAGTGATGAAGTTTGCTACTTTGCTATGCAACCATGTTTAATGATAACCACCATCACATCTACATGCTACTCCAAATTATACCGCGTTATTACCATGGTACATTACTATTAATCCATATATTCAGCAATATAAAATAATAAAAATACATGCCTCTCAAAAGCAGACTTGCTAGAAAACTATTCAACATCATAAGAGGTTAAAGTCACTTACCTGCAGCAGCTCTTGCGCGTTTGCAACAGCAATCTGAACTTTGACCTGCTCCATTATAGTGCCAGGGTCCATTTTACCAGACGAAGCGCCCGAGGAGAAATCTGAACCGAAACTGTCCATTTTACACACTTTTCGATCTAATAACAGTGACACACTGGATTAAAGTCAGTGTCGCTTCGGTACATGTGATAATTTTGCCCTTGAGATGAACCGGAAGCGCTGCGGAAAACATCCTGACTGTGTACTTATGGGAAATGTAGTTTTTAATGACAGTAAAACTACAAAAAAAGAGTAAAGTATACAACTAAAATCATAAGCAGATGAATTTTAAACGACAAAAATATTCAGATTTTAAAACGATTCATCATTTTTGATTTAACGCATTTTGCAATTTTAAAAGGCAACAAAAAAGTGTATTATTTATAAATATTTATTAGTCTGCAATCTTTGGTACAAATATCTGTTTATAATAACAAATTGTGTTTTCTAATGGTTTCGCATTATTGCAATATGGGCAATCCGTCCAGTAGGTGTCGCTACATTCCAACAGGTAGGTTATTGCTGGGGAGAATTATTTTTTATTGTATTTATTATTTATTTAGTCATTTAGCAGACGCTTTTATCCAAAGCGATTTTAAACCGTTTTTTCTTCAGTGTCATTAGTTATTATACAGTAAAATGAAATAATAATAATAACTTCTAAACGTGTCTAAAGCCATAACAGTCAGTGGAAGCTGAAAGTGTAAAACCTGCCAGAAGGATTTCGTTAGGAAAGTCAGATATAATTGGTGTTGAAGACTATGTAAACAGGGCATTGAGACAGTAACGGCTGTTTAAGCTCTAATAACTCTATTAGACATGAACACTAAGTGTAGGCAGGGGATCTGACAGTAATTAACAGCCATAGAGTACAGTGAGTGTTCACTCATTCACAGTAAGTACACTGGTGTTGTTTGTACAACAACCTCTTTGAGGGTGAAAGAAATATTCTAAGAATAACACATGCCCTTCTTGTTGGCATAATTGTGTTGGAAAGCAAACATTGTGGATTGACACTAAATACCATAATGAAAGAGATTCAATGTACTGTGGTGGTAGTAATGGTATAAATGGTACTTGTTTAATTTTTTTAATGTAAATATTAATTTTTTTTAAATAAGGTTATTATTATTTGACTTTGTAATTTATTTATGCTGTATTTAAAACTGCTATTTTTGCTATTCATGTATTTAATTTTTTTTTTAAATGTCCATGCATCCACCATGCATCGTGTTTCAGTAATCTCACAGACATGTGCACGATCACTCATTCTCCGAAACACTTCTGATTGCTATTAAAACGCGTCCTAAGATCACCTCCTCCGCCAGGATAGGAGGAGCGACTGGGATCTACGCTACACACTCACTCACAGCTCAAAAACCACAGTAGTAATGTTCCCCGGCAGCGTAGCAGGCAGATCTGGCAGACTTCAGATTGATCTCATCTCGAGAAATGTTACTGCTGAAGCCTTTCAGCGAGACGTCTTAAAGCAACACGCGTCCTTATAAGTCGAATGCATACTGTACAAGTCTGTGCGTGAAAAGGAAATAAGGTAAAGTCATACTACTTTTGGTTATACAACACAATGTTACAATATACAAACGTGTATAGATTGATTATAACTGCTCAGTAGACCTGTCTGACCTGTCTGTTAAATCTTTGAATACATTGTGAAATAATCTTATAACATGTACTATGCACTTTTTCTGTATTTTATAAGTAAAGAAAAATATAGAATCTGTTGTATAAAAGCTACTTAAAGGTTAATAAAAAGGAAAAAAAAATCACGTGTTGTCTCCTTATAAGTCGAATGCATACTGTACAAGTCTGTGCGTGAAAAGGAAATAAGGTAAAGTCATACTACTTTTGGTTATACAACACAATGTTACAATATACAAACGTGTATAGATTGATTATAGCTGCTCAGTAGACCTGTCTGACCTGTCTGTTAAATCTTTGAATACATTGTGAAATAATCTTATAACATGTACTATGCACTTTTTCTGTATTTTATAAGTAAAGAAAAATATAGAATCTGTTGTATAAAAGCTACTTAAAGGTTAATAAAAAGGAAAAAAATCACGTGTTGTTATGGTAACCAAAGTTACTGAAAAATTCATACTGAGTTTGAATACATTAAAACAACAATTATAGAAACTATGGCATTTTATTGATACCATGGTAAATTCAGGGGTCATTGTATCTTGGTTGGTCCGACTTTGAGATGTTTTGGTGGCTGTTTAAAGGCTTTCTAAAGAAAATTAATCATGGTTTTATTATAGTAAAAGTGTAGTGACCATGTTTTTTTGGCATATTGATTACCATTTGCATAACCACAGTTTTACTACAAATACCAAGGTTGAACTATGCTTAGTGTAGCAACACCCTGGTTAATTTGTGGTTTAACTATAGCAACCATGGTGTTTTGGGTTTTACTTGTAGTTAATTTTCGAAAGGGTAGGTTTGTAGTTTTCAGTGAGAATGTATTTCAAAGCTGCCTTGTTATGTACAATATTTAAAATGTGGCGCAAAAACATATAAATGTTCTAATTATTCCAGCTTTCATTTTCATTCACTGTTGTACTGCCGGTAGACAATTAGGTTTCATACTGCTGTACAGTGTTGGATTGTTTTACGCATAACTGAAATGATGAAATGATATCTAAGAGCAGTAACTTTATCAGAGAGCAAAGAGGATGGCGATTAATCATTTCCTATGAATCATGAACCCTCATACTGAAAGGGAGAGCAATCTCAAGGTAAACGAAAAGCTGTAATGTTTTATTGCTGTTTAACAAACGATTATGGGTTTACTGTCGTCCAACGAGATGGTTGATTCCAAGTGTAATTGCCCTAACTATTATGTATCCACTGTCTAATTATATGTTAAGGATTCTTAAACACTGCTGAACAATAGGCCTTCTGAGTAATATCAAATGAACGTCCACAGATGATTTAAGATGTTAATACTTTATCAAAAGGGGTCTGAAAGGAAATCGTTTCTTTTTATTTTGTCTTTTATCCAGTTATCCAAGATGTCTGTCAGTAATCACGAGAACCGAAAGTCGAGGTCAAGCTCTGGGTCCATGAACATCCAGCTGTTCCACAAGACATCACATGCAGACAGCCTGCTTACCCAACTCAACCTCCTCCGCAACAGACGTGTCTTCACGGATGTAGTCCTGCGTGCTGGACATCGAGCATTTCCATGCCACCGGGCGGTTCTGGCTTCATGTAGCCGCTATTTCGAGGCCATGTTCAGCGGTGGTCTGAAGGAGAGTCGAGATGCTGAGGTCAACTTCCACGACTCTTTGCATCCGGAGGTTTTGGAGCTCCTGCTAGACTACGCCTACTCTGCCCGGGTGATCATTAACGAGGAAAATGCAGAGTCTTTGCTGGAGGCTGGCGACATGCTCCAGTTCCACGACATCCGTGACGCCGCCGCAGAATTTCTGGAGAAGAATCTGCATCCGTCTAACTGCCTTGGAATGATGCTTCTGTCCGATGCTCATCAGTGCCAGAGGCTGTATGAACTTTCTTGGCGAATGTGTCTGGCTAATTTTGCTAATCTATACCACACTGAAGATTTCCTCAGCTTGCCCAAAGATAAAGTTCAAGAGCTTGTTTTTAGTGAGGAGCTGGAGGTTGAGGATGAAAGTATTGTCTACGAGGCTGTTATTGACTGGGTTAGAGCAGACATCGGAAGGAGACACCTTGATCTTCCCGATCTTCTGCGCTGTGTTCGACTCGCCCTGCTCCCGGAAACCTACCTGCTAAAGAACGTTGCATCTGAGGAGCTTGTCATGGGACACAAGGTGGGCCGTGAGATTGTGGAAGACGCTGTCCGCTGCAAAATGAAGATCCTGCAGAATGACGGCGTTGTCACAGGCTTCTGCGCCCAACCCCGGAAGGTCAGCCAAGCTCTTCTGCTTCTAGGAGGCCAAACGTTCATGTGCGACAAAGTATACATGATTGATCACAAGGCAAAGGAGATTACTCCCAAAACGGACCTTCCTAGCCCTCGCAAAGAGTGTAGTGCTTGTGCCATTGGCTGTAAAGTATATGTCACAGGTGGTCGAGGGTCTGAAAATGGGGCTTCAAAAGACGTTTGGGTCTACGACACCTTGCATGACGAATGGTCCAAAGCTGCACCGATGCTCGTCGCTAGATTCGGACATGGTTCAGCAGAACTTGACCACAGCCTGTATGTAGTAGGTGGACACACATCCCTTGCGGGGTCATTCCCTGCGTCCCCGTCTGTCTCTCTCAAACAAGTGGAGCAGTACAACCCCCAATCAAACAAGTGGACACTAGTTGCCCCTCTTCGAGAGGGTGTGAGCAATGCTGCTGTTGTAGGGGCCAAAAACAAACTCTTTGCTTTCGGAGGGACTAGTGTCAACAGGGACAAGTATCCCAAGGTTCAGTGCTTCGACCCCTGTGAGAACAGGTGGACTGTCCCGGCCACTTGTCCTCAGCTCTGGCGTTACACAGCGGCAGCAGTTGTTGGGAACCATGTTGTGGTCATTGGTGGAGATACAGAGTTCTCTGCGAGCTCCGCATACCGCTTCAATAGTGAGACGTTCCAGTGGACCAAGTTTGGTGACGTGACTTCCAAGAGAATCAGCTGTCATGCAGTGGCATCAGGGAATCGCCTCTACGTGGTCGGGGGCTACTTTGGGGCACAGAGGTGTAAAACCTTGGACTGCTATGACCCGTCAACGGACTCATGGGATAGCATAACAAGCGTACCATATTCGCTTATCCCAACAGCATTTGTCAGCACCTGGAAGTACCTCCCATCTTGAAGAAAATATGTCTCTTATTTGGTGAGTACTGTCCGGTGATACTGTCCAATTGACAACATTTGCCTTGACTACAAGCCCTCTCAGATGTATTAAGCAGTCATTTTGTTTGTTGGTGAAAAATGTCTAACTGTAATTAGTGCTGTTGGTGTCAAATAAAGACGAAATTTTCCTTAATAGTTTGAAAAGGAATGTGGCAGCACAAATTACAGAGTAAAACGCATCTCTCTGGGGTGTACAGGCTTTTCCAAAAGCTTCCAGCAAGAACAGGATCAGGTTCATGCTTGTAGTTCTGCCTATGGCAAGGCCTGAACCATTTTTTGCACATTGCTCCACTGAAAGAGCGTGTGGTTTTGCTTCCCTGGGTTGTTTACAAATCCTCCGTCTTTTCTTTTAAATAAATGTCAGGGCTTATTGTTCTCGCTAGCACACACAGTAGCCAGACAGATAACAAACTTAAGTAATGGCCGATGATGTTTAGAGAAGGTGTGTATATTTGAGATTGAGGCCTAATGTTTGGCAGGAAGATTCAAGAATGGAGACTGGAACCTTTCAACTTGTCAGGTGGCATCTTACCCTCTTTATTTGTTGTAAATGGCCTTTGCTTGAAGAATTCTCAAGTAACTCTCGCTAGTTCAGCTTCTAAAACAGCTCGTCAAGTTTAGCACACTTGCAGCTCGTTACCGAGAGCTCAGCGCTTACTGAATGGAAGGATGCCTAGGGGAACTGCTGTTTGCCCTTCCTCAATAATAAACAGATGGCTTGGGTGGAGACAGACAGAAGAGAGCCTGCGAGGCCCCAGATCTGCAAAGCTGCAGCTGACAAGTCGGTTTTATCCTTCTTTGAGAGTGCAAACGGTGCCGTTCCAGCTCTTTTGAATGCCACTAATTTGCCGTTGATTTTTGCACAGAATAGCTTTGTCAGAAATGGCAAGCAAGGCATGTGGAATAGGGTGCAGCTATATTTTGCACCGTTTGGCAGCCAGCAGCTTAAAACTAAAAATACACATTGCTTCAGAAGCTGTCATCTCGTAACGGGGCGAGGAATACAAATAGAGAAAATCTCCTTCTCTTTGATGTTCACTTTTGCCACCAACCGACTTCCAGTACGCTTTACGAATATGCGTCGCACCAAAGATGCAGATATCTCAGAAGATTTCTCACCAGTTAGTCGCGCCCATTTAAATACAAATACATTTCCTTCCTATTGTCACTGCATATCAGTTCTGTGAGTCACTGTTTGACTTTGACTTGGTGTAGTTAACCATTGAGATATTCGATGGAACGCAATTCTCTCAACATACTTGGTATACTTTTTCTATCCCAACCTGGGATAGAAAGACATGGGTAGTCTGTATTTACTCGAACAATGATTTGACAAATACAGATTGGTTTCCTATGTTGATGAATGTAGCCTCACAGCTAACACAGCATCAATACCTCAAGGCTAACAGAAACCACAGCCACAAAACTCTTCTTAGACAACTTGGGTTATGTTTGAAACAGCATGCTAGCATATTTTTCTTGCAGTATTTAGTATGTGTACATCATTTGTCAACATATGAATTATAAAGCTGTGTATCCCACAATGCATTGCGCTTGATTTGATCTTCCATGGTTACAGATGAATTATATTTCCTGTCTTCAGGCAACTTTAATGTTTTCAAGCTGGCAAGACTAGTAATCCAAACTGTAACACGAGCTCCAGGGAGGAAGTTAGCAAGATCTTCTCATTCTTTGGTCTTGCAGAGCAGGCTGTCATAACTGGCACTCATCCAATATACACCATATGAGTCTCTGTTTGTTGTATGACACACCTGACCTAGGTCAAGGGTCAGTTCCTGGCTCTATGGATGGCTTTTTTATCCACGGGTCGGACCAGAGTGACCCTCACAGTCAATACTAATGTTTTATTAATGTGCATCTTTTAAAAAGCCATCCGAAATGCTAACAAAAAGATCCTTTATTTTGGCATCTGCGTCCGGCCTTTCTTACCCGACAAGCACATAAAGTCACCGCGTCCCACTGAGCCCTTGCGGTGCGGCTGAATCTGCATAAAGTTGATGGGATATTTTTTCACTCCTTTGTCCGTGGAAGCAGCACCTGCGGAAAGAAATTGAATAATATAAAGGCCTCAAATTGGTTACCAGCCATAAATAGATCAAACGGGTCATTCAGCTGGGAACTCACTTGGTGTAATTAATCAGAACTGCATAATATTCATACACCAGAAGAGGTGAAAAGGTTGCGATCCGCATACAAACCGGCTTTGTTTTTCAAGCCAGGGGTGCATAGATCGAAAAGACCCAACATTTTTGTTAATGTAGAGATCAATTAGAGTTCAGTTCTGCAAAAAAAAATGCAAAAGAAAATGCCAGTGTGGTTTAAGCTGTCATCCTGTGATGTACAGTATGTGTTAACCCGCACACTCTTGCTCATTAGTAAACATTGCCAGAATATTGAGAGGCGGCGCATAATGCAAAGCAAAGGGCATTTCCTAATAAATAAGGTGCTGATTGGGATTGCTCCGTTAGAGGAGCAGATCACAGATCACTCAGCGCAGAAGTTTACACAGCTGTCATTAATTCACCCCGCAACCCTCATTACATCTGCTGGAAGCATCAGGAAAGAGCTAGAGCCAAACCACTGCTTAACAATTTAGCTGTGCTGCAGAAATATTTAATAGTATTATTTAAGTTTTATTAAGGGTTATAAACAAGCAAACAATTAAATGTGAATGATACATATGTATTATTCACATTGAATTATATACTTCTATACAGATTTTTATTAAAAAGCAACTGTGATACAAAACAATGGGTGGAAATAATTTATTTGGATAATATTTAATAAATGTTTTTCTTAATTTTTCTTAAACGTTTACTAGTAATCATGAAAATGATTGTTTTCACCATTTTTAAAATACATTTGTATGAGTGATAAATTATTTATTTAGCACTCGAACAAATAGATAAACCACTACTTAACCATTTAGCTGTGCTAAATAAATATTTATTTTATTTATTTCTTGGCATTGTTTAATTTTTATTAATGGGTTTTTATTACTTAAATTTTATAGATGAATATTTATTTATCTATTTATTTTCAACTAGTAAAAATAAAGACATTTATTTGATAATTTTAAGTCTTACTAATTCCTGTTTTCACTATTTATTAAAAAAAATTTGATTAATAATTTTGAGTGATTAATAATTGAACACCCAAATAACATTACATTAAAGAACATTTTATTTATAATTTATTCTGTAAAAATAACTTGAAAACAAGTGCTTAAAAACAACTAAAAGGTTAAAAAAATTAACAAAACTTGGAATACAAAGCCCTTAAAAGCTGAAATTTTTTTTAAAAAATAAATAAATATATATATATACAGCAATCCTACCACGCTGATGACCAACTACAACACACCATACAGCAATCCTACCATGCTGATGAACTACAAAAGACCACATAGAAAGAGTCTTCAACACAGTTCTCACTGTTGTTAAACAATGTATGTTACTGGTGTGTTTTTCTCCAGCCATCTAGCAGTGTTATTATCGATAGCTAAAGCGAAAATCATTAGGCTACAATTAAAATAATTTACTGTAATTGAGATAAAGCTGAAAATAAAATAACATATTATAAATATAGATCTATATTTTAGTATACGTTTAATATATATATATATATATATTTTTTTTTTTTTTAAAGTACATAGTTGACTGCCTAATAAAACATGGTAGTAAATTCCAGAGTTTGGAAGCATGAAGTAGATGTAATAAAGACAAATAAGAAGGTTTTCGGTTTATGGCTGCGCTAGGTGATGAAAACAAGACCATAAAATCTATTAAACAAGCTGATTGAATCCCAGGCATGCGTACAGGTCTTTAGACTCGCTTTAATGGAATTTCCAAGGGCTCCAAACTGGGTCAAAGGTCACCTGTCCTGCTGCTGCTTTGGGTCGGGCGAGACCACTGATGCTGATGGATGAGCACTTACGCAACACTGAAAAGTTCACTTCACCGAAGCATTTGTGTGGTTTGTGTAGCATCGCTTCTTACATCTTAAATTAAAGTGTCTCTGCCACGTCCCAGAAATAACACAAAGGTCTGAAATACGGTATGCTTATGTTTAAATATAACCGGCTCTGAAGCTGCTGTACTTGTGAAACGCTGATCTCTCTCTCAGGTAGTATTTTTAATGCTGCTGGAGTGTTGATCGTCTCAACAATGGAAAAACAGACACTGTGTCCGGAGAGGATGCAGTATTGGGAGAAACTAATGGCATTTGAATTTAGTGGCTTTTTCTGTCCGTTTTCAGATCTGAACTTTGACCCTCATGCATCGTGTTCATAACAGTATTGATTAGAGAAAGATCATTATGTCTGTCTGTAAAGGGGGTTCAAGTCTTTAATTACAGCAGCGGACACATGGAAACGTGTTGCAGTGTAAAGAGACACTGCTGGGTGTGAACGGATCAGCTGGCTGGTTTCAGCAGTTAGGTCACAGTATTATCTAGACTTTACAGCGTTGTTAACCCTGTTAAACTCGAAATCAGCTTAAATGGTGTCAATCCTCAGCGTTATTCCTTGGAGAGCACACAAATGCATTTACAACACTCAGTTTTCTTTACAATAAAATATGAATAATATTAATAATACAAAAATGATAACATTTTAATTAAATGATAGAGAATAATAATAAAACGGTTTAATATATAAAACAGCATAATATTTAAATGTGCAATTTAAAAAAGTTAATACAAAAAATCAGTTGAATAATAATAATGATAAACTGTGTATTTAAAAAAATATATTTTTAACTATTTGCAATATGTATTGTGTAAACAAGCGGCCATTTATTTTCAGCATCATTTTAATTTACTAGCATTAAATCGTTTGTATTCAAATATTTTTATACATTTTTAAATATACAGTAATAATAAAATAATGAATTTATAATAATACTATAATAACAAACAGAATACTGAATAAGAATAGTGTTAAGTTTATTAAACAATTGTATTACATATCTGAATTTTGTGCCATCATGTTGCTAAATTTAATACAGTAATAATAAAATATTTAATTTGATCTAAATGAAATGTATAATAAATATATTGTATGATATTAATGAATAATAATAGTGTTAGTAATGTTATTAAATTCAATTATTGTATGATATATCTGCATTTTATATGCAATGATGCTACATATTTAAAAAAGTTAATTAAAAAATAACATTGTATTGTAATTTAATTAATTATTCTTAGTAAATAACAACAAGAATAATAATAATTTGGATAATATTAATTCATAATAATAGTGTTATTCATTTTATTACATTAAATGATTGTATTATATATCTGCATTTTATTTGCCATGTTTCTCTCTAGATATTGGTTAACCTTTAGTCAAACGGTTTACACACTGCTAATGCAACCGCACAAATAAAATACACTCTTAATAGGTCAAATGTTCAAAAACTCATCTAAAGGAAGAGCCTGTTTTATAGGTTTTGGAAAAACATGTTGGGAAATTGGAAATTAGGCACAAGTGAACTTTCATTACCTACATGTTTTAGGGGATGAGACGCATTTAACAGGGCAAGAACAATTTTATAGTACGTGTTTTAAAGCTCTTCTGAAATTAAAAGCAGCTTAACATACCAAATGTGATATTATTAGTAGGTGCTTGGAGATTAAATTGAGTTACTATCGTATGTTACCAGTAGTTTTGCGATGCACTCAGCTTCTCAAACTAATGTGAAGGAGTGTAGATGAACCATGTGGAGTTCAACATGTGTAACTCATTCCCTGTTTTTCCGTCCTCAGATCTTCTGGCGTTCTCTGGAATGTGGCTGAGTTCCCCCCCCCCCCCCCCCCCCCCCCCGCCCGGGGAGCCGGGG